TCCGAACCTGTACCACTGAATATTTGTATCATCTAAATATTTTTCATGAGCTCAGTAATAGTAATCTCTCAACTGTTTGAGGCAATGAAGAAAAGAAATAATTTTTCGTGTTTTACGAGAAAGAATCGATGAGCCAATGTGGATTTATCACTTTCATTGGCGCATTCAAAGTATCTCTATAAACATATCCTCAACTATGGAATTTGTGCAAAGGTAGTTCTAAAAATATACCCAGAAGTCGGAAGGAAATCTAGATCTGCTGGCTTGAAAAAGATAATAAACCTCATGAACAAAGTGAAAAAATGTAATATTGACGTGGAATATCGTTTGTTTCAAACTCATTCTCTACTGAATTGTTCTGTCAAGGCTATTTCAGAATCAACAATTCCACAAAAACTCAAAATAATAATTTTATTATACATATATCATTTGAATCTTCACCTGTCAGAAATTACTAACATGAATGAAGAAATTGTTTAGTTTTTCTATTGTATTATTGATAGGATCATTGAATTCCACTAACCTCAAAAATGACATTGTATACATATATATATAAACACACTAAAAAATGTATTGGTCATATATGATCGACATATTATTCATGATTTATTGACTTTAGTTTTTTATTTCATTATGAAAATATTATTGCCTCAATAATTTCATTATTAAACAGTAATAGAATAAAATGAAAATTTGTTGAAATTATAAAAATGTATCCAATACATTTTCATATTTACATTGCCTTACCCACTAGAATTATATTATATTCGTGAGGTTTTTCTTGGTCTCCTCATACAATCGTAGATTAGTTGAATATTTCATTATTATTAAACAATGTGAATGAAGGCTGATGTTCATATTTTTCATCACATTTCTATCCTGAGTCTCATTCTGGTAGAAGTAGGAATCAATTTCTCCAGTTGCTGGACATTCAATCAAAGTTAAGAACATTCAATTCTTTTCGGGTTCAGTGGACCTTCAGCAGAGGGAAGTGAAATTACGTATCAAAGTGAAACTTACTTCTGAAATTTAAACATTTACAATGCACTTTTACAAAATTGGACCCTTTACAGTGAAATTTCTTCACTGAATTCACTTTTTTTTTGTAATTTCATGAATTGAAATTTCAAAACGATAATTCCATAAAAACTCACGTAATTTTACGACAAATAGTATTATGCATTTAATGAGTATATTCACATAAATGTAATTAAATTTACATCATGTGTGTATTATACCGAATCGAATTTAAAAGTACATGATACAACGTTGGCAAATCATGTATTTTTACATTTTTGCTTATAGTCCGGTCAAATTAGACTAAAAAATAGGAGTGGAGGTACATCAATTTACAACAAGCTGCAAATGCGTGTAATTGTTCAAAACATAGTTAAAAATAGGATTTTGAAATTCTGAATAATTGCGATGCCTGGAAAAAATTTTTTTCGAAGTCTAAGGTCAAAAGTATCGAAAAAAATTGGTTTTTCGCGATTTTCAGGAAAACAGTAAGTTTTATCATAAAATAACCTCAGATAAAAATTGTAGATTATAAAATTCTCTACAAAAATACCACGTATGTACATCTGTGAAGATGTAATTTAAGTGAAAATATTTTTCTGTTGGCATACATAAGTATAAATATAAGAATATCAGGTAGAATGAAATGTGGAACTTCAACGGACATGATTATCTAGCAGTCTATGATGAAAGCTATAAAGACCGATGGAGGTATTGCTCGAGGGAGAAGTACGAAAGAGAGTGTTTTTTAAAAGTAAATGGGTTTATAGTATGCATGCAATGAATGCAGTGTGTGAAAAATTAGAAGATCTCGCTAATGTTAGGATGGATACGACCAAGCAGCATGTTGATGCGAGTGACTCAAAAGTAAAAAAAATGCTAAAGACATCCGAAAACTTTTAATTAGATAAATACGTATAGTATGTTGTACGTAGACATTTTGGTGCCAGAATTACGGTCGTATTTGATGGCTTTGAAGATTGCACGAAAAATATCAAGGCTGCAGAACAACGTCGTCGAACTTTAGCAACATCTTCATCTTCCGATGTTCTATTTCATGAACTTATGACAGTTCCTGTCAGTCAACAGAAATTTCTTGCAAATACTCACAACAAATCTCGGTTCATTTCAATGGTGAAGGATAAGTTTATTGGCGAAAATATATTGGTTAAACAGGCTAATAACGATGCCGACGTACTGATTATTGAAACAGCTATAAATCAATTCAATTTGACAAATACAACTATTGTTGTTGGTGAAGATATAGACTTACTCGTACTTCTTACTGCTCGAACTCCACCTGAAAAAACTATTTTCTTTCTAAAGCCAGGAAAAGCTCGAAGTCAAATCGAAATATTATCGTCAAAAAGTTTATCTACTTTTGCAAAGAGTCAAAATCATGTATTATTTTTACACGCAATAACTGGCTGTGATACGACGTCTGTATTTTATAGGAGGGGTAAAGCAACAGTCTTTAAAATGTTCAAAAAACAAGATTTAGTTCAATGTGCTGAAGTTTTCAAAAAAAGTAATTCGACTCAACAAGAAATTATCACCAACGGGATTCAGTTTCTTCTTTCTATGTACAAAGCTCCGAAAAAAACCACCTGCTTAGAAAAGTATCGATATGCATGTTTCGTAAAAAACACTAAAAATAAGAAACAGGTGCAATTAGCTTGTCTTCCTCCAATCTCAGTTGCTGCTCATCAACATCTTTTCCGGGTATATTACCAAGTTCAAGTGTGGCTTGGTTATCAGCTAGACCCAAAAGACTAGGGTTGCTGAATCACCAATAGTGGAGGATTCATTTGATACCAACGAGGAAACATGCAATACATCACTCTTGACGCAATTTACCTACACCCAGGATGAACATCAAGAAGAAGAAGAAGACCAAGAAGAAGAACGACAAGAAGAAGTATTTGAAGGTTATGACTGAGATGAATGAATTTTTACATTTTTTTCATTTCAATCGCTTTAATTTCGAACCCTTCCTAATATATTTTATTATGCAAGTTTTCAATTCGACAGAATCACAACAGACATGTGCAATAAGCCTACTGGGGAAACCACGTTAAAAAAACGCGCTAAGTACACTACCTCATAGGTGGCGTGGAAACGTGTGCATATAATGACGATTACAACTTTTATAACTTTTGACTTGTCATATCTCAGAAACGGTGGCTCTAAGAAAAAAAAGTATTGATACATTCTTTGTAGAGAATTTTATGATCTGCAATTTTTATCTGAGGTTATTTTATGATAAAACTCACCGTTTTTCTGAAAATCGTGAAAAACTAATTTTTTTCGATATTTTTGACCTTTGACCTCGAATAATTTTTTCCAGGCATCGCAATCATTCGGAATGTTTTGAATAATTTGACTGGAATATTACGTTTATTGACTTTCAGGGATTCCTGAAATTCTGCCCCTTATTTTTTATGTAGTACGTCGTAGGTTACGTAGGAGTCGTGGTTGTTTTCCAATAGACGGCATGCCTAGGTTGAATTGATTTCTTTTGATTCAAAACTTCTTTTGTGATCGGAGATTCTAGTTTTGAAATTTCTAGATGTTCTTTTTGTATGAACGTTCGGACACGAGTCACTTTTCAGCTTGTGAACACCCGACACTCACGACAATCAATAACGAACATGATTTCGTAATTTCCCATAATCCATACATACAACTATCAAAAACCATTATAATCCCCCTTATCAACATACACATACATACTCCACAGATAATTTTAATGAAGAACCAAATTTGATAAAACAGATGGCAGTAAATGAAAGTTGCCGGTAATTTCTGATTCAATTATAAATGACCGAAATAAGGATATACTTGAACAAATATCGTCAACTCCTCAAGATCAATCAATTTCAGAAGCAAGAAAATATATTTTTTACACAACCAAAATGACGCTGGTGATACATTAGACTCATCAACGATTAAAAAAGTCTAATTGGTGACACCAGAAACCCCAAAACCATGCTGAAAAGCAGCACCAAGGAAGACTACATGTCGTGGCCGTTAACCAGGAAAGATAGAATTCTAACCAGAAAAGAAGTAACAAATGGTTTAACATTTGAAAATGGCCAGAAAAAGAAAGAAGAGTCTAGTAAAGGAAAGACAAAAGTCTTCAAATTAGTGAAAGTTAAACAGAAAATGATGGATCTACCAAAGATACTGCAGTTAAAACGAATCTAATGAAGAAGAAACCATATAAGAGAAATATAAAAATCACGATAAGAAGTGCAAACAAAAACATTCAAGATCAAAAATCGTAGTCGAACCGAATCAGAAAAATCAGAAAACAAAAACGTCATTCCATATGCTGGTGACTCTGATGATGATTACTCGGAAGAAGGTATAGATATAGATAATCGTTGGCCAAAGAGAACAAGTTTCAATCATAAGACTGTGTATTTCATGCCAGATATATATTCACGACGACATATGTGTTGGATTGACCAATCAAGATGATGAATGTTATATATGCCATTATTGTGGATATTAATGATCAATGATTGAAGATTGATGATGATTGAAAATGATGAAACTGACTTTGATTCTATGTCATTAGAATATTATTCAGAAAGAAACGTTTTGAAATATATCTGTTGTTTATTGATAATTTTCATTTCTCTTAGAACTTTTTTTATAATACCTACATTAAGTAATAATTGGTAAGAAATAGGCATTGTTAGGTTTACTATTACTTTAATTAAACAAATTTGATTATACAATCATAAGACTGTGTATTTCATGCCAGATATATATTCACGACGACATATGTGTTGGATTGACCAATCAAGATGATGAATGTTATATATGCCATTAATGTGGATATTAATGATCAATGATTGAAGATCAATGATGATTGAAAATGATGAAACTGACTTTGACTCTATGTCATTAGAATATTATTTAGAAAGAAACGTTTTGAAATATGTCTGTTAATAATTGGTAAGAAATAGGCATTGTTAGGTTTACTATTACTTTAATTAAACAAATTTGATTATCACAACTGTCTTTAACTATTTATGTTATACATACAGATAAATCTCCCTACCAATATGGTCAACTCTCCTACAAATCGATTTTTAAATTGAATTAAACATTATTGAAATTATTTGATTAGCAGGAAAGTTTATAGTTCAAAATGTTACCTGCATAATGATGCTTCGTTCACGTTATTGAGCAATTAAAATACAGACTTTGGTAACACTGTCCTGCGGCTTAAAGTAGAAGCGGGGTTCAAATGTCCTAGATTTTCTCTATGTATGAAAAAATATATATGTTCATGGTTCCATGAACTTTTGTGATTTCATCTGAAATAAAGTTGGTGTAATATTTGTTGGGAAGGAGTCAAATACAGTAAAAATATATCAATCAGTTCCTGTAAGCGATTCCAAATGTTTTCCATGGGTTGTCTTGGTATGTCTGGCATAGCACTGGTACAAAGTAATTGCTGCCTCATTTGGAGTGTCCCCAACTCTCTTTCCGCAGTCATTCACAATGTTTTCAACGGTGGCTTCGTTAATGTTGTTGCCCAGTTTCTTGACAGCCTCTCTCAACTCGTCCTTATCGATGTCTCCATTAGGTTTCTGCATACCAAGTTTAACGTTCATACACAAGGTGTGTGGTCCAATTGCGTCTACGTCAACATTTCCTTTCCTGGCGTCTTCAAGGACGGAATCTTTAACCACGGTAGCTGGATCTGATTGACATTCTTTGTGGAGTCTAGTGATTCGTTCTAGAGGGCTTTCATCAGCGAATGCCTAGAAAAAAATGTCTTATCAAATGTATTATTCGTATGGAATTTTTCTCTTTTCCATCGTTCGCAAACCCTACAGATTTTCAAACTCAATCCTAAATACACAACTATGTATTTCCTTTATATTTTGATGCTTATTCGAGATGTGAGTATTTCAAAAAACAGTCAAACGAATTTCATTTCCCAAAATAAATTTCGTTTGCAAAAATGTGTTAAATTGTACTGTACTCTCTCCCACATATTGACCTAATGTAAAATTGTTAGCAAAAATGGGATCGTGTTTTGTTGTGCATGGGTCTTATTCATCTACTGATGATGCCTATTTGATTAGCGAAACGAGCGTCGAGGGGCAGTATTTTTGACCTGGCGAGATAAAAGTGTTTCCGATAGAAAAATGAATTTATTTCGACAGACTAATCAAGAATATGTTCAAAATGTGCTCCTTCTATTACTTGACAACAATTCAGCTTAATATACAGTGTGTTTATCAAACATGCGGGGCAAAAAAAAATTCGACAATGACAATTTTGGTAATTTTAAAATTATCAACGTAGCCTGAATAAAAGTAAAGCGTACTACACTGGATCTACCAAGTAATAGAAAATTTCACAATTCCGTTGGTACCTTTCAACAACATTCCGATTACTACAAAAGGCTGCAGACATTCAATTTGAATAGTATGTCTTTTAAGTAATCATTTTTATGTGTCGAGTAGATTGAAACTGATTGACTTTGTCTATTTGACGTGCTGACATGCATTTCAATTATAGACTTGCTGATGGCAATTCATTGAAAGTCAGGCGGTTGTTCAGTGAACGATTTTGTAATCGTAATGTACCTAATAGATGAAACTAATAGAAAAACCAAAGTATAAATCAACGACTTCGTGAAACAGGAGCATTGAAGCCAAATGGAGGACCAGGAAGGCCAGAAACAGTAGAATTAGAAGAAAAGCTGCTGACCATGATAGAAGAAGATCCAGGTACTTCTACTCGAAAAATTGCAAATACTTTTAATGTAAGTAACGGACGATTTGCAACATTATTAGAAACAATTTGTTATATCCATACCACATACAACGGGTTCAGGCACTTCGGTCAATGGCTTTTGCGCAAATTGATTCAAATCCGCAAATTGGCACAAATCCCTCAGCTACTGTCGTTTATTCTTTTTATCGATGAAGCCAGTTTCTCAAGAAATGCCATAAGGAGGATGCACCATTGGATACAAGAAATGCAATGTGTTTTATGCACCAGTGCATTGTAACATATTGGCTCGAGAGTTTTCAACAGTAACATACGGAGATCGCTGGATTGATCGAGATGGACCTCACTTATGGCCTGCTCGATCACCGGACTCAAACCCCTTGGATTATTTTATATGAGGCCACCTAAAGTCACTAGTTTATAATACTCCAGTGGAAGATGTGGAAGATTTGGAGAAATCGGGTAATTGCTGGGTGTAACGCAATCAGAAACGATCCTGGTGTTACTGAAAGAGTTCGGGAGTTGATGAGAAGAAGATTGGATTCTTGCATTCGAGCGGCTGGTACTCATTTTCAACAGTTCTTTTAGATTACGAAACATTACATGTAATTTTTGGTAATAAATTGTCGGGATTCTTTTCTCTCCGTATCTTCGAAACAAGGCGCCCTATTAAAAATCATCAAAGAACAGAGTATCCTTAGAATAGTCCAAGAAATATTTCCTTGAATTTTTTCCGCATGTTTAATGAACACCCTGTATAATTCATTTTAAACTATTTCGAACGTCTGTGAAAAATCGTCTTATAGACCAGAGCTTCAGAAAGGATACACCAAAATATGAATATAGGTCCAATAAAAACATTGGACCTATCTATCTTTCTTATCTTGAATATTACAGGTTATATGGTAGATCTTGTTTTTGAGATGACCCCAAGAAAAAATGAAATGGGGTGAGGTCAGGTGATCTCAGGCCATCCTAATACACCTCTTTTGATTTCTTCATCCAATCTTCATTCGCATTCTGAAATGCGATATAACGGTCCAAAAAGAAGAATGTGTTGTATTAACTGGATGGTGAAATGAGTTTGTTGAAATACGAGGAGAAATTCTGAATAGATTTCAGACCTATAGATCTCATTTTGAACTTATCTCAGTTTATGGAAAAACAAAATCTGTTATCAAAATAGCAATTAATTTTTCAAGAAAAATTATTCACACGAGACGCAATAAGAAATTTAATAAACAACATCTATAGAACTTTGAACAAGTAATCCAGTCATATTAGTCAACATAAGGCAAGTATCTCGGAATTGGAGATAATCAGCATAAACCTTTATATAGACATCCTTAAATTTGTACCAAAACCTACTGATCGTTGGGTGGCCACGATAAAAAATACTGTAGATGATTGATTTCATTTTCTCGATTGGAAACGTGCCGTATAAAGTATATATCTATAATATATTGATAAACACATATGTAATTCTGGATAATTTGCATTTTTTATCATCTATTAAGTTAAATTTAATATTTTATTCATTGATTCAGTATCTATTCATTTAATAACAGTTATCTACTTATGTAATTAGGACATTGTCAAGGAAACTACTTTGATACAGCAAGTCGATCCAAATTCCGGAAGTTTCACACGAGTGTTCTTAAAAAAGTTTTTCTTTTTTTTAAGGACCGCAAAAGGCGTGCCACAGCCACTTACTTCATGCAGAAACAAAATGTGTATTTTAGAACGAGAATGTTGAGTATATATTTGGTTTTTTAAATTTCCTTTGTAACTCTTTTTAAAAAAAAATGTTTTCAATGTTATGAAATAATCTTAAAGTTTACGGTATCCAGAGAAGATGTCATCAATTATTCATTTCCCTCAAAAACGTTTTAATAACATGAGTAGGTAATTATTATTAAATGGATAGATACTCAATTATTGAATATAACATAATGGTTGACAAAAAATGCAAATTATTCAGAATTATATATTTATCAATAATGTATAGACTTCATACGGCGTGTTTTTGATTGGTAGTCCCGTTGTCTTCGAATGATAACTGAACACAGCCCTCTCTCTGGCCTCTATCTCAAAAGTTGTTCAAGATATGAAAAAAAAATTCAAACGAAAATTGTAGAGAATCCACTCCTCTAGAACACGCATGAATGATATGAATGGTAGAATAAGACACATAAGAAACGAAATATTTGCGAAAAATGTGCAAACAATCGATTTTGTCGACCTTTGGTCTTAGGTATCAGTAGTGGCGGCAACTTTACTATAAGTCAATTTTGGGGAGTCAAAATTGAAGTTCATAAAAGTTTATCGCTGAATATCCCCAGTTCCGAGGTGAAACCACTGATATGACTGGACTAAAAAGTGAACCTAATGTTGTTGCGATCTCACCAAGGCGGTTGATACAATCAGCCATAAGGAACTTCTTGAATCCCCCCTTGGAGCTCGTGAAAAGAAAAATCTGAAAATGTTTGAATGCAGAGAAGAAGTTTTGCCTTTGGAGTTCTTCTTCGCTAGTGAAAGTAATTATTGCTCAAAAAATGTGCGACTTCTTTTAGGTGCCGACCATAAAAAAGCATACAGGTCCCTTTTTGATTTCTATAACATTCTAAATGTTCAGATATGTTCATATTAACATAATGAAGTTAGAACAAAAGAGAATAGAACTTTATTGGCCACGTTACATGTCCATACAATACATTTGTAGCAAGTCAGTGTTCCACCTTTCAGAACAAGAATTGAAGTAATGTACAATTCAAATAAAAAGACCAATGCTTCCACTGTGAATAGGAACATCACACATACACATGAATATACATATACCTCCATAGGCTCATCCTACAAGATTATGAGATTCGGACACGTTCGACTAACAATGTTTGTTTTTGTGAATATCTATCACGGCATAATAGACAAACAGGCAAGGTAGAGGTAAGATGTCATATTTTTAGAAAATTGGCTTGCAGTGAGCATTGAGGTCCGCACCAACGATTATTCACATTGTTTTTTTCTGTTGTATCGATGAGTAGTACGCAGGGAGCATAGTGTCAATGTTAACAACCTTTTCTAGTCGTCGCATTAGATTAATATAGCTCAATACTCTCCTAATTTTTCCTAGTTTTTCGGAGTGCCTGGACCAGTTCAGTTAGACCGTACTCATCCCATCAACACTAGTAATACTCGAAATCATAATGATATTATCACGAATATTGAATCATATAGATACAAATAACATTCAACGAACCTTCCTATCTGTCTGTGATACTAGAAGAAATTGAAGTTTTCCATGCTCGAAAAAAGATTACTGGCTCACAACTCTTATCATCAGAACCATATTTGTAACAGTAATTTCCGACTACCGAATGCAAATCAATTCTCTACTGCTAGAGGTAATATTGAGCTTAGCCAATATTTTGAGTAGTTTCACGTGATGCGTGTGGAAGAGAAAGAAGTGCAGATGAATCATCAACAATATGTGCTTCAATTTTCGAATAAGGTGTTTTCAATATTTCGTTGAATTTCAAAAACTTACTGAAGTCACAACAGCTACTGCAAAAACGAAAACAAATCGGCACTGCATGGTTAAACTTTACACATGAAATATAAAATACGTTCATAACATGTATTTATATAACACAAATAGGTCATCCCTCAGGTCAGTCTCTCAACTACAAGACAAATAAAAAGCGTTATCTGTCAATACGTTTATCTCAATGCAATTGAGAAATGAATAAACAACTTCTCTGCAAATTATTCTCCACTATCCCATTGTCTTGATATGGTTTATTTCGATATATTCCTTAAGGGGGTCCAGCCTATTTCAAATATTTTTTTGGGTCCTCGTTATCATTATGAAAGCTTGTTTTCATATTTTGAAATTGTACTGTACTGTCCTTGCATTTTACTTGTGCATAATGTTCATTTGTTAGCTGTTACTCCCCTGAAGGATTTCATTAGCAAACAATATTCAGAAAAGTGGTTTCTGGGAACACTCCATTCTAGAATTGAACAAAAACTTACTTACATATATGCATAGGTACTAGCTGTTTTACCCGTGCTTCGCTATGGACGATAATATTCTAAGTTGAGTCATCGATGATGCTCATCTATATCCTATATCCATATTCCTAGAAGGCTGAATTTCAAGTATGAATTTTTCAACATCATATTTTTGGACGAGAATGGAAAGGATAATGACAAAAATGAAGTTTTACTTAGAAGAATACTCTTAACAATATCGGTACATTTTTGGCACCCATCTGAAACACAAATTATTCCGAAACGGCATACTGTGGAATCTTCTTTTCTCCATCCAATTTGGGGAGGTCCGTCATAGATGTACCAACTCTTTGCGGTCTCAGGGGAAAACCCTTGCGGACAGTGCCGCTAAACTATCCAACAAAACACTCTCTGCGATTCCTGCATGCAGCAGGATCTATAAAGCGCATCTGTCATCCTCAGACAGGATATGCCAGGGTTGCATATTAATAATTTCAGCCAGAGTGACTATTTAATTGGTAGCATAAAGTCTGAACTAGGCACTGTTGCCAAATGAATGGAACTGAATGTGTGAAAAGTACAGGCATTGATGTTTTTGTGGATTTGACAGAAACATTCGAAATCTTGCACCATGAAAGAACTACCTGAAGATTCCAAAAATGCCGATTTCGAAAGTTTTCAATTATAACTGATTGATAATGATTTTTCGAACTGAAAATTTGCAATATTTCACTATTTCTTGCTGAAAATGATATATATGTTGTTATTATTTGAAATTGTGGAAGTGAAAATATGGAAACTGAAAAAATAGATGGATTATTTATCCATGAAACAAATAGTAATTATATTGAAGAGTAATTCCTAAACAAAAAGATTGAGCTTGACTGCAAATATAGTTGTTTTCCATCTCTGATTTTTCCTATGTTAGTACTAACTAGTGCTTATGCGGCATTGTAATTTTAAAAATGAATAATAATTCAATTCAATTCAATAATAAAAAAATTATGAATTTTATACATGTATTCAGGTCCTAAGAAATACGACTGTATACTTTTCTGTGTCCATCATATGAAGTTATACAGAGTGGTCCAACGAAAAGTATGCACCTTGCTTTTCTCCTTTTTTTTTAACTTAACGCAAAAATGGTCGGATAGTTCAATTTTGCTTTTGAGGGGTACACATTTTAGATGTATTTTTCTACCTGTGCCTTCAACCCCCTAGCGAGGGTGAGTAACAACCCTAAAATNGTAATTGTGAACCAGTATTTGAACAAATGTATGGAATTAATTTCTCATAGTCTGTGTTTTGTAAGTTTAATTTGAGAAGGTGACATATTGAGTTTTTTCGAAATTTGTAACTGTAAAATTTGTATGGAACCATTTTTCCATTAGTTGCATATTTATAGATATTTGTTATTCATCTTTTACACAATCTTACCTTCAACGTATAGAACAATATCATCTGCAGAAAAAAGCACTGCGAAATCTGTCTGTCTGTCAGAAGTCGAAACTTGTGCGAGCTAAGGATTAACGGGGTCTTACCTTTCAACATGCGATTTCTAGCACGGGAAAGAAAGCATTGCTTCATCAACTGCTGACTCAATTAGATCGTTCAAACATATTGAAAGCAATAATGGTTCTAGGGCGATTCCTTGTGGAATAATAAAATTTATATTATTTGATTGATCTCTGTACTACCAATTCACATAATTTGATATTCAGCAAATTGAGCAAGTAACTGGTCAAAAGCTACAATACTGATCCGAATGTTTTCCAATTTCAGCAAAAGCTTTCGATGATTCATTCAATTAATATAGCTCTTTCAGGCATTTCATTGAGGTTAGGTTTATGGTTCTGTAGATTTTTACCAAATTTTGGTCTCCTTTTCCATAAACCGGGTGAGTATTTGATTGATGAAATGGCAAAGACCAGGGAATCAGTCCTCCAGATGTTATTCAGAATTCATTACCTGACAAAAAGTTAATCAAAACATACAAAAAATTTTGAAATAAAAGTATGAATACCGAAAAACGGAACAACACAACCTCAGTAGCATCTACAGCTATGTATTGGAATTGGAACGAATGAAATTTGAATCAATCAATCTACCCTGAAAATAAAATTTCTTCTTCTTTGTCAACAGTTGGCAATACATTTTCACAGCAAACAACGCACTCTTTTACGTTTGCCCTTTTGACAACGAGCTCCTGAAGAAAAGGGAACAAGTTGCTGTACTTTCTCAACGTACCTAATAAAAATATCCAAAATATCCCCTTGATAATAATATGTACGTGTGTATTTATTTCATAAGATATGAAACAAATAATAATTTGACTGAATCCATTAAAAACAATAAAGATGAAACTCATGTGTCGAATACTATAAAAGCATGAAACAGAATTTGTTTAGTAAGTATTTTGATGCGTGCGAAGTGGAAAACGCACATTAGAGTATTTTTTAATATCATCAAAAATATTTTTTGTTCAACTGTCAAAAAAAACTTGACATTTCTGCATCTCTATTGATGCGTAAATGTTTAATGTTTTTCGCCGTGGGAAACAGATTTTTTCTCTGCCAAAATAATTCACACAATAGACATGAAAAATTGAAGGATTTATTTTTAACAAAGTCAATTATTAATTAATTTTTTATCATGAAGCAATTTCATTTATTGAAATAATAATTGATAGTTGCTGCTGATCAGAAACGTTAGATATTTCTTGAAGAGCTGATTCCACGATTTTATAAGATATTTTAATTCTTTTGGAAGAAGATGAACACTTCAATATTTTGTTGGAAATATCAGTTTTGTTTTTCAAACTATCTTCTATATATGCTACTGTTGCGGAGCCAGATTCCCAGCCACCGTGACGTTTTATGGATGCAATTTTGCCCCCTGCATTAGCCAGAAGAGTTACAGAGCTTCTCCTGAAACAATGACTCTTATACAACAGCTCTTATACATCTCAAATGTATACAGAGAGATGTATACAAAATTATGTACAGAGTTATGATTATATATGTACTTTCGAAGTAAATTTGTTTCGTCATCAGCATCTAGAAGGTTTAATAATTTCTGATTTCTCCTCAAAATAGCACATTAGCACATTTTCAGAAACCTTTACCATATTTCTTGTCGCACTAATCACGAAATTGGTCATATTGTAACGTATCTGAAGCCGCTCCTGACCAGTACGCCGACCGAATCATGGAACAAACACATGACAAGCGAAAGAATGCAGTCGGGAATCGCTGATAAAATTTCAGTACCGAACCGATATGAGCACGTCTTCCCGACCCAAGAGGGCAGTTCAGAACATGAATCGAGCGGCTAAACAAGAAATTCAAACAGTGGAAACGAATTAAGCATTAGTTGCTAAGTGTTGTAATGAATAAATCAGTTTGTGATTAGTGAAATATTGTTGGAAATAAATTTGTTTAAGACAGGTAATTTTTAAATTTTTAGCAATATGTTTTCTCATACACTAACTTGGATTTGGCCGGTAACTTAGTTGACTATTGCATTTGCTTTCTCAGATATATTTGAAGGGGCATCACTACCACTATTATAATCAACATCCATCTTCTTGAAAGTAACTTGAAATTGCAGTAACTACGATCAAACACAGTTAAAAACGCGGCGTGCCAACAATCCGTTTCTATAGTAACGACACAAAAAGATCACTGGATGCTTTGAAATTGTATTGGAAGTATTGATAACATTGACGATAAAATGTATGAAAAGGAGAAGGAGACAACAGTCGTTCAAAAGTGATAACTTTTCGGGAGGAAAAACCACGCCAAGATGTATTGTAAGTATTCATTTTTAATATGTTTCAGACGATGTGAATTCACATTAACAGTTCTACAAAAAATGTTTGTCTTTCGTTTGTATTCGAGAGAATTTTTGGTCTCGACCTGCGGTCTCGGCCAATCAACACTCTCATGTGCCGATGATGAAAGAATAAAAAATGTCTCAAACAGGATGAAAGAAAGTTGGAAAATTATCAACGAACCAAAAAATCATAGTCAAAATCAATCAGTATCAAAGCTCAATTATAATGGAGAATGTGTGACAGATTTGAGGGAAATTTGCAATATATTCAATTATTACTTCAATGATTTGAAATGTCCACCAGTTAATAATAATAAAATCAAACTAATATCTTATTTCCATCATACATTCTTTCTCTCTCCTACTAATGCATTTGAAGTTGAGGATTATATTATGAAAACCAGCAAGAAAACAGCTGTAGGTATTGATGAAATTTCTGGAAGACCGTTGAGATATATCAGAGAACATATAAAAGAGCCACTAGCACATTTAGTCAATGAAACGTTCGTTACAGGTCAATACCCAACAAATTTGAAAACCTCCAAATCAGTACCTATATATAAAAATAAAGGATCCAAATATGACGTTGATAATTATATAAACATCTGCTTACAAAGTCAGTTATCCATAATTCCCGACTTTGCTTTCAATTGCCGCCTCAACAAATTTTTAGAACACCATAATTTAGTGTTGAACTATTAACACGGATTTAGGCAAAATAAATCAACAGCAGTAGCAGAACTCTGTGAAAACATGTATAACTATTCAAACATCAAATAAAACACAATAGCCCTAGATTGCAGAT